TTCCCTTGTTTTCCTTATGCCTGATCACCCACTCATCTAACCCTAAGGAGTTACTCTCCAACCCTCCTGCCCACCCAGCACACACACAGGAGATGACCATGTCACTCTGGTGGGAGGTTGTTGAACAGAGAAGCACTCTGTGAGTTACGAACCCATACTAATTCTTCTCAATGTCTGAATAATAGTCCATCATGTGGACACAGCACCCATTGCTTACCCTTTATTCTGGTGATGGCCCTGGGGTTGTTTCTACTTTGGGGCTACTGTAAACACTACCATTTTAAGATGAATGAATGTTTTCGTTGCTCCTGGGTACACATCGACGAGTGGAAATGCTGGGTCATATGGGAACTCTGTTTTGACTCTTTGAGGGACAGCTGAACTCTTCCCCAAAGCAGGTTCCCCATGTTATATGTCCACCAGCAATGTATGTCCACATCCTCACCTGTGCTTGCTATTGTACATATTTCCATGTAGCCATCTAATGGGTGTAAAGTGTATTTTATTGAGCTTGGATTTCCATTCTCGAATGACTAATGGCACCAAGCATCTTTTCATGTGCAGATTTTCATATGAGCATCATTTTCAAATCAATTTGGTGAAGGGTAATGGTGTACCGGTATGTGTTAAGACTGTGGTCTCTTTATTTTTATTCAGTCAGATGAACATGGTACAGATTGCAGCTGATATTTGCAACAGTCCCACCTGTTGTACACTGTGACAGGTAGCCATTGGCCAGCTGGAGCGAGGGAGGAGGCTGACGTTGCCTATTGCACTGTGTAGTCCTTCCCGGAGGGTGGGAAGGACAGAAACCACCCGTTCGGTGAGGTTGGCAATGTGTTGAGGTACTTTCGTTTGTCACAGTGGCCAGTGTCTGCCACAGGCACTGAGTGTCTGAGGCCCCATCTGTGTTGTGTAGTGGGCGAGCCTTGCCTGATTAAGAAGTGCCCTATCACAACTGTCACAGATTAAAATAAAAGCCAGATATATGAGTCAGCAGAAACCCAAAGATAGCAGAGTTCAGAATCTATAAGTGATAAAAAAAAAAAAAAAAGGAACTAGTGGTTGGTGAACGGCCAACTTTCTGGACTGAGAGGTGATAAGAGCTCCTTCCCAGACTTGTCCTGAGTCCTCAGTAGTCTCTGGGGCCTGTGTGTGTTATGGTCTCTGTATGGGACAAGTTCTAGGTCCACTGAGGGTCTTGTTTTCCTCGTTTCTATTGGTATCTTCATCCTGACTACCTAATGTCACTTCAGACACCTGAGTGTCAAAATGATGCTAACACACTTTCTCCCTCGCAAAAGATATGGACTGGGTAGAATTTCAAGAGCAGCGTTTAAGTTCTCAGGCTACTCTGGAGTGACTCATTATAAGCTGTTAGGACTGATATTTGCCTTGTGGTTGACATTGTAAGTAATTGTGATGCCTTTAAATATTTACCTGGCAAGCTCATTATTTGGGATCCTTTGATTGATTATTTTTTTCCTCTGTGATGCTAATAAACTGCTTTCTGAGGACACTCCAAATTATGAAATGGAAGCCAACTTCAAATTAAATATTTGGGTAAGGGGAGGAGAAGGCAATACTTTGCAAGTTTATTTAGACTGTATGATATAATATTTTAGAGGGCTTAGTGTTTCAAAAGCATTATTCTTGTTTAATTCTGTGGCTTTTATTTTAAATGAAAGCGTTTACAAACTAGATGTATGATAAAAAATAAAAATTAAAAAGTGAAAAGAAAAAGCATTGCTCTAAATGGGTCTAATTTTGATTTCAAGTATTGTTTGTGATAAAATATTAAAGGTAGTTTTTGATTTGAATTATTTAAATTAGAAATGCCTGTAGATTAATTTCAAAAATTAAAACTCATAATCAGATGTTAATTCTAATTTTTTTTTACTGTCATATAAATGTTAACTTGTGTTTTTATCTCTGAGGTAACATAATGAACCATGAATCCAAGATTTGAAAAACTGTATACTAATGAACTTATAATTCCCTTGCGCATATTTTGAGAGTGCTTTTTTTCAAAGAATATTGAAAGTCTAGAGGATCTCTTTAGTGTTTGATTAGCAGCAAAATTAGTGAGCTAGAAACATTATTCATAATACAATAGAGATGTTAGGAGAATTGGAAACATTCCAGTTGGGTATCTGAGAACAGGGACAACTTAATTGTTCTGAGGTTGAGAGAAAAATTATTGATTGCATTTCCCCACTAAAGTATTCTCTTTAAAATTAAACAGAAATTGTTTGTGTCTTTTGCTAAGAAAGCACTCATCCTCTACTACAGAATGCTCAGCAAACGGTAGGTGCTCAATAAGTATATGTATTTTAATCCTTACCGGAGGATATGTTTATTGATTTTAGAGAAAGAGGAAAGGAGACAGAGAAAGAGAGAAACATGGATTGGTTGCCTCCTATATGTGCCCTGACTCAGTGGTTGAGCCTCAACCTAGGAACCAGAAGGTCACAGTTTGATTCCTGTTCAGGGCACATGCTGGGTCGCTGGCTCGATCCCCAGTGTGGGGCGTGCAGAAGGCAGCCAATCAATGATTTGCTCTCATCATTTATGTTTTTCTCTCTCTCCCTCTCCCTTCCTCTCTGAAATCAATAAACATATGCTTTTTAAAAAGTAGAAGGTAACTAATACTAATTTTAGTCTGTGATGTTTCAATGAAGCATAAAAAGACATGTGGAGAAATATGAGAATAAGATCCCCTCTGTGTATCTTTCCCCCGGGAATGTGTACACATTCATATTAACTCCCATGGGCTTGCAGACCTCCCAACATTGCATTCAGTTCCCCCATGTTCAGGTGAAGAATTCCCAGGAATGCAGTGGATCTGAATCATCCCACCATTTCCAAAGCCCATATTCCATAGAACACAGTTTTTCCCAGCTGGCCAGTGGCCAGGCCATGACTACAGTACACCACACTCAAGCAGATTTGGGAAATGCTGGGATGAGCAATGTTAAGCAGATTCCATTACTTCATTCATTCTCAGAATCTTTTATATGCAATGTATATAAAATGCCGAGCTGCTTAAAGAATGCTTACTCTCCACCAGGCACTGTTCTAAGTTAGTGTTCAAGGAGGTAAACTCTAGATTTTCCCCCTTTACTCACATGGAAACTAAGGAAATGGAGATAAATTAGGCTGCCCAAGTTCACACGCCTGGGAATTAGGGAGCTAGGATTACGACAACTCAGTCCGACAATTCAGTCCGGAGTCTCTTATTGACCATTCCAATAAAGACAGGAAGCAGAACATATAGGGACCATTAAAATTTTTATTTTGAGATGAACCTATTAATATACCATAGAAGTCGTGTTTGATGGAAAGTGGTAATGTGATTAATTAGGCAGATTGTATAATATATATATATATATTATATAGACACACATAGTTTTATGACTTTGAAAACAATACAGGAAATATTTACAAAACTCGATTATTGGGCAACTGAAATTCTGTCAACATAAGTCTTGGCAGAAATTGAACATTCTATATTGTTTAAAAACAATGCAATGAAATTAAAAATGATTGACTGTCATAGTTATAATTACAGCGGCTGATGCAGGGCCTCAGAATGGCAGTTGTTAAGTGAAATGGGAATTTGTTTCTCTCTCACAAGCAATCCTATCATAGACCATCAGGGCAGGTAGGGCAGCGCCTCGGTGTCAGACCCAAGCACCTTCTTGCTTATTTCACACACGTCTCCCTGTCCCTTCACACTGGGGCCAGGTGAGCCACCCCACCCAGCCCCTCTCTCCCCCTCATGCCTCCATTGCAGGCTCCCAAAAGAAGAAGTTTCCTTTGCAGAGTGAGGGCCCACCTCCCGTCCTCCCTCCATCACTTTCTCTCAGTCTCCTTGTGGGACTCAGGTACCTGGGAACACCTGGTGGCCAGAGGGAGTAGGAAGCAGTTGTCGTCCGCTCGGTGACCGCGAGCTCTGCTGATCCACCCGTCACCATCATGGAAGGGAGAACAGAGGTGGGAGGGCAGGCGGGATGGCCGAAGCTTGGACCACTCTTAGAGGGAAAAGCCTCTTGACTTGGACGAAAGGTGGGACCAGCACTGTAATGACAGACATTTGACACCGGTGGATGCAGCCAAACCGTCCTCCGAAGACCATGAAATGCTTCCACGACTTTACATTAAACAAGGCAGCATGGAAATAAGCCAATGAATCACTCACGCGAGGAAGCTGGAAATAATTATGTAAGGGGCATACGAAGAGCCTGAAAGCATAAATCAAGAGAACATTGTAGATGAATGATTTGTAAATGAGGAAAAACAGTTGGATGGCAAATCAGTGTAAACGCTGTGCCTTCAAACAGGTCGTGAAAAGAGAAACAGCAGAAAGCACTAGTCAATAAAAAAAGAGAAGCCTTTGCGTGATGTGTGAGAGAGAGAATGTGACCACAGACGTGAAGGGAGATTATAACCCTAAGCATATGCCGTCGCCTGGCGCAGTGGCTAGCAGAGCACCTGACAGTATCGGGACCTTAATTTTCATGAGCCAGTCAGAGAAAGACAGGTATCACATGATCTCACTCATATGTGGAATCTAATGAACAACAAACTGATGAACAAAACAGACCCAGAGGCTTGGAAGCATCGAACTGACTAGAACCTCAGAGGGAAGGCAGGGAGGGCGGGTGGATGGAAAGAATGAACTTGTATGCATAGATGCACAACTCGTGGACACAGACATTAGGGTGCTGAAGGCCTGGGGTTGGGGATGGAGGCGGGCTGGGAGAGGTCAGTGGGGGAAAAAGGTGGACATATGTAACAGTCTTCAACAATAAAGACTTTAAAAAAATGGCAACAAAGCTGCAAAGATAAAAATATAGACCCTGGCCCACAGAAAACTCTTGTCTATAAAGTAATTAATATATAAACCTGTTTTGACAACATCAATTTAAGATGTCAGAAACATGAGTCAGCAGAAGCAGAGACGGAAGTCAGCATTTTTTGTAGCACATTCTGTGTACCAGGTGCTTAACATACTTCTCATTTTCCTCAGCTTCAGAACCGCACCGGGAAGGATGGCTACATTGCAAGGCGGAGGACACTGAGATTCAGGAGGTTAGTCGTTTACTCGTTGTCTGTGAGCTCTTTGTATCACAGCTACCCTTTCTCCCATTTGCTGAAAACAGTGATCAGTCTTTTATTTAAATACAGGAGCATATCATGTAGGGCTTGGAGGACTCGCATGGAAACATAAAGTGAAGGTTCCTTGTTCATAACTCGGAGCACTTGTCAGTAGATGTTGCACCAGCGTTCCCTTTTTATTGGCACGCTGATGCGGGCCTGGCAAGAAGTACGCCCAGGAGGCCCATCCCCTGTGTGTCCGGTGGGCATGTATGTGCAGCGGACCAACAGTCCTGGTGAAAGCCACAAAGAGAAGGAGATTTTTAAAATGCCTGTGAGCTCTATGGTTAGACCTCCTCATCTCTCTCGGCTCTACGTCCTCCCACCCGGGAAGAACTCTCCCCGACTCCCAAGGCCCGGGGGTCTGGGAAGCCGGCAGCCCCCAGCCCACAGACAGAGAAGAACCACTCCAACCCCACGGCCACTTGCCGTGTCCCACATGTCCCCACCGATGCACATTAGTGCCGGACGTTCCAGCTCTCACTGCCTCTGGCACCCTCGCGGCGAACCTTTACTTCCAGTATAACTACCATGTCCTCAGAGGCTCCACTGCTTTTCGATTTTAAAAACAAACAAACAAAACCATAAAAGGGCTATATAGTCTGTCCAGGGAAATTTGGTGTGTTTTATCTATTTGTGTTCAGTGGTAAGCCTCTAACTTTGAAACTGCTGGTGAACATTTTCTTAATGTAAAGTAGGGGTGGGGAATGTCTGGCCCTTGGGCCGTACAAGTCCAACGAAATTATTTTGTTTGGCTCCGCCAAGGCATTAGGGGTGAGTTAATTAAATGTCTGACCAAATAGAGCTAATTTTTAAGTTGATAATGTTGTATGGCCCAAGAATGATGTTATAAATATCCCAACGGCTCTTGGCAGAAAAAAGGTTCCCCACCCCAGAGCAGAGGAATATGGGCATTGCTAGATTTCATTTAAATGTTCTTCCTTAGATGACATCTGCTCTCTCTGTAGTGCTATGTACCCCGACACCCAGGCCTGTAAGCTGTAGGGCAGCCGTGCACCGAGCTATGGTCTAGTGAGCGATAAGCTTAGCGAACGCCCGGAGGGGTGTGGCCTGCTAGGTGCACCTGCATGGGGAGACAGCATGATGATAACCAGCTGATCCCAATGAGACCTTGAGCTTATTCACTTATTACCCCTCGGCCACATTTTCTGCATTTTAAACATCAGGGTAGCCCAACCAGCGTGGCCCAGTGGTTGAGCATTGACCTATGAACCAGGAAGTCATGGTTCTATTCTCGGCCCAGGGTACATGCCCGGGTTGTTCCATGGTGGGGGGGGCGGTTGGGCAGTGCTTGTGGGAGGCAGCCGATCAATAATTCTCTCTCATCATTGATGTTTCTATTTCTCCCTCTCCCTTCCTCTCTGAAATCAATAAAAATGTATTTAAAAATGTAAGGATAATGCTCATCAGGAATTGTTTCCCAGAGGCAGGGCAGGGTAGAATCCCTCTTCTCTGCCTTCTCAGGTGTCTGTTATCTCCCCGGCTCTACAAGGTGAGGGCAGCAGCTCTGGGCAGGATGGGAAAGCTTCTCTCGTCGGAAGATATCGTCTTGCGTCTGGCCCCACCTGCATCACAGCCCCTGGAAGCAGCGGGGTGGAAGGCTGGTCAGGTAGGCAAGTGACAGTATGTGTCACATTGAGGATGGGACGGGGTGTCGGCAGCAGCCTTGACGAGGTTCATCAATCAATCAGTATTGACTGTACAACACCCAGTACAGAAAACCATGCTGTGAATATTCAGGGGGAAAGACAAAAAAAAAAGGATGGCAGTGTCACTAAGAAGAAAAACAAATGATAACTTTGCATGTGAAAAGCCACATGCTAGTGGGGGCATAGACTTGAAAGAAATAAGATAAACATACAGAACGATAAAATAGTGGTCCATGATTTATGGACAAACAGATGTCCTTGTCTGTACACATCTCCCTCTTTCCCCCTCAAGGGAAATTCACTCATGTTATTTTTAATATTAGCATACCACATGGTTGGGGAAGTTGCTTTTTGTGGTTGGAACCTAGACCCTAATATTTTCCAAATAGATGGGGGAACCCTTAAAAAAATTACACAATTCGCCATTCACGGGGAAAATGATAAAAGCAACGTAAGCTCTTGGCCTGTACAGATATTATTGTTCTCAGGGCGTTAGGCTCGCAACAAATGATAAGCATCAAAACACTCGTGGAAGTACAGTCAGACCTGGTTTCTTGCACTTCTCTCATCGCCAACAGTTCGGCTCTTGACCAAGTTGTTCACAGAAATGGGTGACTTGACACATTTTCACACTGAGACCTTGGCTTCAGCGTAAGAAAGAGCATTTCTCAGGCAACAAAGGAGAGAGTGCTTTTGTTGCTGGCCCAATAGTGGCACAATTTTAAAACGTGAACAATAAAGAGACCATTAAGAGTGCTAATGTTGCTAAAGGGGCGAAAGCGCTCACAAAACAACCACTTCAAGCAATTGAATAGGTAGGAAAGCTGTTGTTGATTGGATACATGCAAAGCAGTTAGCAGGTGATAGCGTTTTGGAGGCAATGATAGATGAGGAATTTGTAGGGGGTGGTTCCATAATTTAAGGAAAGGAGTGTTTCTACATTAAACAAGAACTTAGACATGTACTGTAAATAAGAAAGGTTAAAACGGAATCATTAGGGGGCCTGGAATGCATTAATTCCGTTTACATTATGTATTTCTAATGGGAAAAAATGATTCGGTTTTTGAACCCATTGCTTCTGGAACAGCCTTCCGGAACGAATTAAGTGCAAGAAATGAGGTTCCACTGTATATCCCCCGTCACCTCAAACCCGTCCCAGAAGCTGTAAGCACCTTCGTGCACGAGTCTAAGTTGGGAAAGTATCGGTGCTTTGTGTAGACTGTGGATTGAATTGAGATGGTTTTCAAGAGGGAGACTAGTAAATATTTAATGGGTTTGTGACCGTTAGGCCTATTATCTTCTAACTTGTTTCCATTATAGATAAAAGGAATATTGATTTAAAAAAGAAAAAATAGGTTCTCAGTGGTGTTTTCTGCTGAAGACGCCATGTTTTCTAAAGGCTCTGAGCTCATCAGCATTTGAGAGCTAATAGCAGCCTTGCCAGTCGTTCGGTCCCGCCCCCTAATGTGACTAAGGAGGCCCAGCTGGAGCCCAGGTGGAGCGCCCTTGGCTCTGCCTGCTGTCCTGCTTACCAGCTCTTCCCATCGCTCCTCTAAGGCACACGCGTCCTTTATGTTTTCCCTTCGCGCTTGGAATACAGAGTCCTGAAGTGTAAAGCAGGCAAATAGCATATTTTATTCCAGTTAGAACAATTCTGTCAGAATGTAGGTGGACTATGGAGAGGCGGACTATGTTTTAAGTTCGTTGAGCATTTCCCCCGGCCTTATTGAGGGATAATTAGCGAGTGGAAATGGGATCTGTGTAAGGCGTACAATGTGGTGGTTTGATATACAGTTGTCCCTTCGTGTCTGGGGGACAGGTTCCAGGACCCACTCCCCATGGGTACCAGCATCAAGGATGCTCAAGTGCCCTTAATAAAATGGCATTGTATCGGCATCCAACCTGTATTTGTATAGACTCGCAGTGATTCTCAACCTTCTGGCCCTTTAAATATACAGTTCCTCATGTTGTGACCCAACCATAAAATTATTTTCGTTGCTACTTCATAACTGTAATGTTTCTACTGTTATGAATCGTCATGTCAATATCTGATATGCAGGGTGGTCTTAGGCGACCCCTGTGAAAGGGTCGTTCGACTGCCAAAGGGGTCGCGACCCACAGGTTGAGAACCGCTGGTATAGAGGCTACAGTGGTGCGCCCGCACATTCCTTTATTTTCGAGGATTCAGCGTGGGGCGAGTGATGGCAAATGTGAGTTTTGTCTTTTGGAACTTTCTGGGATTTTTTTTCAAATATTTTTTATCTGTGCTTGATTAAATCTGTGGATGCAAAACCCTCGGATATGGAGGACAGATTGTACTTACACGGTACATTGTGAAATGATCTCCACAATCAAGATAATTAGCACGTCCATCACCTCACATAATCACTGTTATGGGTTTTGGTGGTGGTGGTGGTGGTGGTGGTGGTTTCTGTTTGTGTTTTTGTAGTGAGAACATTGAAGATCTACTCTCCGCAAATTTCATGTACTCAGTACAGTATTCTTACCCATACTCACCATTCAACTAGAACTTATTCAACTTATATCGTAAGGTTTGTACCCCTGACCAAGGTCCCCCCATTTTCCTCACCACCCAGGGTCTGATGACCACCATGCTACTCTCTGTTTCTAGGAGTTTGCTGTTCTTAGATTCCACGTTTCAGTTGTGCTTTCATTTGCTCAAATTCCGAGATGGTTACTTACCTGCTAGCTGGGAAATCTAAACACCAGCTTCACCATCCTCTGTGGTATCCAAAAGAATAGTTAATAACATAGAAGAATGACCACGGTCATTATAAAGAATACAGAGCAGAAAATCAGAGTGGTTCCAACTGCCTTCCCCAAGTTATAGATTGTCCTTGCAGGGCACTTGTTCTGAACAAGGGGTTTTTATCTCTAATCCTCTAGGGCCATGACCCAATGTTATCTTCTGAATACACCTCCCTCTGTTGGGTCTCTATTGCTTGAGTCGTGATCTGTTTGACATAAGCACACCCTTTAGGCAATTTCCGCCCATTCTCATTACTGTTCATGTCCATTTTCTATGTAAGATCAACCAGCTATTTTTCCCTTCAGAGATTCATTCTATAAATCCTGGTTAAGCACTTGGCGTATTCCTGGCCTCCTAATAAGCTCGGGGATGCTTTGGTGAGCAAGAAAGAGACGGTTTCTTTCCTTTCAGAGCATTTAGTCGTCAGGGAAGACATGCCTTTAGATGACCTAAATCGTGTTGATCCGGGAACTGTGGAGGATCGTGAAGGCACGTGGCCGGGATCCTTGATATAACTTCCAAACCGGCTACTTTTCAACTGGACACCGAATGCCCAGTAGGAAGTTTACAGGCAAAAATGGGCCAATGCCATGTTTGCTGTCGTATTTGGTAATTCTTCCTCAGGTTTTCACAGGATTGTTCACAGAAGGGCATTTTAAAATCCAGAAGACTTCCTTCTGGAAACCTTGATTTAACGCTCTTTCTCCAGATTTCTGTACTTCCTGGGAGTGAGTCTTAATCTCTGAATTTAATTTCCTCTATGGATGTGGATTCTCAAAGAATCCGACTCCCTCTCAGAACCACGCAGGGTCTGTGCTTACATGTGGAGCTGACTGCTGTGCACACTAGTCCTGCTAAAACACAGCCCCTGGGAGGGTATGTGTGTGTGGCGGGGGGAAGGCGGGGGTGGGGGGAGCAAGAACTCACATTTGCACGTCTAGTGAGTTTCCTTCACACACACCGCAGTTTGAGACCTATTGGATGCTGTCGTTCAGTGTATATTCAGTTTTCTTCTCGTTGCCTCACAAAGGGGTATACGAGTCTTTCCAAGGAGAAACTGTCCCACGCAGCCCACATGCCAAAAACTCACCTTGCTCTCTCCCCATTAGATTACCTAAGGCACTGTGTTGGTAGGTAAGCATTTCTTGGGACTAAGGTGACACATGCCTAGGGCAATCCCAGTTATTGGGGCACTGTTTGCTCAGTAGAGGGAGGCATTAGGAAGGTCACTTTTCAAAATCCCTGCTTAGCCTACCTGAAGTTGCATATTTTTATCGAGGGAAACAAAATCAGTTACTGTAGTGCCTCGCCTCTGGCCAATTCAGAAGATCAGGGCAAAGTTTTATCCAAGTTCCCTAGAGTTCCTGACCCAAGATCCGATGTTCTACCCGCTGAGTCATTTTAGGGGCAATGCAGATTGCATACAAGGACCGTGTTTGGGATGAGAGCCGCCTGCTGCAAAGAGACATCCAGTGACCATTCAGTGGCTTACGGAAGACCCGAGCTTGGGTCTCTGCGGGTAAAAGGCCAAGATGAATGGCCCACAGTGAGGGTGGGCTCGGCTCCCCGTGGTTTGTAGGCGACGAAGGTTCCTTTCGCTGTGTGCTCTTCCTTCTCTGGGCTGCTCTCCCTGGCTGCATGCTAACTCAGGCGCCGTGGTGTCTGGTAGTGCCCATGGGCCAAGCCGGAGCACCACACGCTTTTGAAAATAAAGTTTTCAAAATAAAGTTTTCATGGTGCATTCGAATAAAACTTTATTTTCAAAAGCGTGTGGTGCTCCGGCTTTGGCCCCTGGGCTGCAGATCAGCCGACCGTTGGCTAAAACAACTCTTTGTGCTTATGATTTTGTGGGAGGCTAAGTTGGTTATCCCGTTAGCAAACAGTTCAGCAGAGGCTGAATCATCTGGAATGGCCTCTCTCGAGTGCCTGGTGTTTGGAAGACTGGTTGGTCCGGGGGACTGGCCGGTATGGCTCATCTCCACCCCACGTGGTCTCCAGGGGACCAGCTCAGGCTTCCTCCCGTGCCGGGCTCAGGGCAGCAAAGGCAGCCAGCCTCGTGTGCACGTGCTTGTCAAACCTCTGCCTTTGTCGTGTTGGCTGGTGTCCTGTTGGCCAAAGCAAGCCTCCCGGCCAAGCCCGAGTGAAGGGGGAGAGGACAGCAAGGCCCCGCGGCAGAGGTGTGTGCGTGGGGACGGGAGGAGTGATTCTAGTCATCGTAAACTAGCCCCCACCACGTCTTTGAAGTAATAAAGGACATTCCAATTCCAATTCAACAGCTTCTTTTCTTCCTGCAAAGTCATGTACAAGCTGTCTAACAGTGAAATGGTCCTTTACTGTGGCAGCAGTAGTGGCACGTGTGTATAGACCTCACTGCACTAGTAAAATAGCATAAAGAATTCTATTCCAAGGGCAGAGACACGAAACCAGGATCTTAAGAATAAACAACCCGCGTTGAAGACGACTGAGAGGAGAGAGTTGTTCGCCAGGCAACTAAGCCGAGGTACCTCTAGACTGTGCAGTCTTTCCCTAAATCCCCATTTCCTGCAGTGCCTACCCTTGAAGTTTCAGGGCATACAGACTCCAGCCATCTTGATAGACAGAGTGGCCTCTGGCAGCCAGTTTTCTGTCCAAGCTTTCCAAACGGCGGGATGTGTCGCTAGTGTCCGTCCTTGCGTTGACTTATCCAGAAGTGTTGACGATCTGAAGCCCTGGATTTAACCTAATTTAAGGGGTGGTGGGTTAAGACCCCTTGAGCGTCTGTATATGAGTCACTGGAGGAAATGGGTTTTGTAAGCTAATCATGTAAAAGAAATTTACCAGATAAGTATTAGTAATCATTTATCTTCTTTACAAAAAAAAATGATAACATGCAGGAGACACCGTTTCATCTGTAATGCCAGTCACATTGTTTTTGCAAACCCTCCTCTCCTGGGAATGTTGATGGACTAGTTGAGATGCTTCCTAGCACATTAGGAAAGCAAACTGGTTCTATGTTCTGTGGAATAAACTGGATTAAACTCCTAGAGTGCAGCCATCATTGAGGATTACTAGGTGCTGGCTACAGGTGAAATCCATCATCCATTGAAAAGGTCTTCAGAATCCTACAAGGACCTGTCGTGTCTCTCTCTCTCTCTCTCTCTCTCTCTCTCTCTCTTTTTTTTTCCCAGATGAAAAAACAACTACTAAAGCTCAGAAAGGTTAGGGAGCTTGCCCAAGGTCTAGTGGTGGGCTGGTAAGCTGACTGACAAAGGGGAAATTAAACCCGAAGTTAGAGTGTTTACCAGTGTGTGTGTGTGTGTGTAAATAATCACAACTTGGCTGATGTCACACACCCAGTGTGATGTCAGGGAAGGGGGTGTTGGGAAGAGATGTACTTTATCAGCTGCTGTGAGCCAGTGGGCGGTGTCTGAGGCTCGCCACTGCCAAGATCACACACATAACAGGAAGTCGGAGAGCCAGGAGTTGAGCTTCCGACTCTCTACACAGTCCATGTGCTAAGTTAATAATGCCTTTTGCCATCATAAACTACTCACCTGACAGATCAGCATAATCACCATCAGTGATATCTTTAATCCCAGAAACCATAGATGCTTCCTTTTTTAAAATATATTTTTATTTACTTCAAAGAGGAAGGGAGAGGGAGGTAGAGATAGAAACATCAATGATGAGAGAGAATCATTGATCGGATGCCCCCCACTGGGAATCGAGCCCACAACCCAGGCATATGGAACCCGGGACCCTTAGGTCCACAGGCTGATGCTCTATCCATTGAGCAAAACTGGTTAGGGCCATAGATGCTTCTTTATTTTGCTTTGGAAACTAATACAGAAGGTACTCTTTTGGAATTCTGCAACCACCTCCTGTTAGAGGCCAAGAACACCTTTATTCTTCCCTTTACTAGAGTCTTCCCTCTCCATGTTTACCTGGATTTTTTGCTCGTGCTGCTTCCTATCCGTATTCCATTGCCGCCTGTCACCTTAAATCTGTATAGTGGCCCCCAACACATTTATTGCTGTTGCCTATTGTTTGCCGCTTTTTCCCCCCTTTTCATCCAGGTTTTTTCTCCTTACCTTATAGCATCCCTTTTCACACTTCTGCTCTTCAGTTCTTCCACACGCTGGCATTCCTTGTTTGAGCAAGTAGAGAGATGGGCAGAAGTCTAATTACTAAAACAAAGTGGGTGCACATCTTAAGAATTATACAACTACTCCACACCAGGGGATTCTCATCTGCAAACGGGATAATGATCGTACTTACCTTGTATTGTATGCGTGGCTGATCAATTACACAAGACAGAGGAATTATGGGAGAAATAAATACCAAGGGTCTGAGATGGGAGTAAGGGGGATGCCTGGAGAACACGTGAAATCCAACATTATTTTATGCTGATGAGACCATCACTTGATGTCTGATTGGGAAAATAGAACTTTTGTAAGTGACAGCATTTTCCACAACATGAGAGAAAATTGTACTTGGGTACTTTCTGCACCTAACAGATTTCATACTAAGTATTTTCACCCTTTGCTAAAATAAATAAGACGCTTAAAATACCGTTACCATAGGTGGGAAGAATGACAAATGAGAAAAATCTGTTTTCCTAAAGAATCTTATGTCCTGAGCTTTAAAAAAATAAAGCCATTTTGCACATTGGTATGAATTTATTTCTGATCAGTAAGAGGTAAATTTTGGAAGCGTACCTGTGAGGAGGACCCGTGCATGTCAGTACAGCCAGAGCAAAGAAGTTTTCAAACTCATTAGAATTCCTATAATTTTATTAAACAGCTGAATTGAAGGGAGTGGATGCCCAGCAACATTTTTCACTATATGTACTTCTATAGAAAAGTAACAAAACAAAACAAAAACACTTTAAGTTAATTCTTCTCTTTTACAAAATGAGCCCCATTGTATATTTTCTTTCCGTATAAAGATAGACTGTAGACTGCAAAGGAGTTAACTTAAAATGACAGTTCTCACCATTGATAAGTAAAACAAAAATCTTACCTACTGTTTGATGGGTTATTCCTGTGGCTCCATGGCAACACTCGGCGCCGTCTTGATTTTCTGTTGAAATTATTATTTTTATTATGCAGCATATCCTAGAGTTTTGAAGAGTTGCACAGAATGGGAACTTGAGGGGGGGGTGCTAATGCATTTTCAAGTGTATCAAAGCAAATGAAAATAAATAGATAGTAAACACAGCTGCTCTAGCCTGTTTTGCTCAGTGGCTAGGGCATCAGCCTGTAGACCCAAGGGTCTGGGGTTTGATTCCGGTCAAGGGCACATACCCCGGTTGCAGGCTCCTCCCTGGCCTGGGCCCTGGTCAGGGCATGTGCAGGAGGCAACCAATCAATGTGTTTCTCTCACAAAACACATCGATGTTTCTCTCTCTCTTTCATGCTGTCTGAAAATCAATGGAAAAATATCCTCGGGTGAGGATTAACAAAAAAAGAAAAAGAAAACAGAGCTAATTGAGAAGACTGAGGTTCCAATGGAATACAGCCGCCAGTGAGAACAGCAACAAACTCTGAGTCAGGAATAGAGCCATGAGTGAAAGCGATTTTACATGGTTAATTATAAGCAACTGCAAACATAATTTGTAAATCGAGTACCAGACAGGAAGATGGAATGCTGCTGTCACGTATAGAAAGCCATGTTTCTAGTGACCAAGAGGAGACGCTCTGGGGCTGTAATAATGTCAGCGACTAGAAGGAAATTCTGGGGAGAAAAATCATTGATTTTCACCCATAGTCTCCTAACAACTAGAACGTACTGACGATGGCATGAATACAGCTTCTGTGTAAAGAAAATAAATCTATGCAACATAATACCTTGCTCTTTCCGAGGTCAAAGCGTTCCCTTCGCTCCTCCAATGGCGGTCCTTGTGCAGTTTCACCGGAGCCGACAGAGGGAGCAGCCAGGCCATGACACTCAGACCCGAGTTCCTGGGCAGGGAAAGAACTCGCCTTCTTCCTCTCCAGGGACTTGCATGTCGTTTCTCTTCAGATGCTGGTGCTAGCTACCATAAGGTGTGAGCTTCACGTATGCAACATGGTCACTGAGAGCATTCACTTTATTGAGAGCAAATATGGGCGAGGGGTTCGTTCTTTCGCGTAAAACTTCGGGCGGTCCTAAATCTCATACCGTTCATCATTCTCGGCTAGATTATAGTCGACCAGTAAAAGGACTTTTACACGTTTATGATCATTTACTTGCTCTGTGAAAACAAGGATCATGGATGAAGCGTAAACCCAAACATACCCTGGTTTCAACAGATTGTAGAGCAGAAGTGGTGAGAAGGCGAAGTACGTACGTAATAAAGAAGTGTACAGAGGAGTGGGGATTCGTCACCGAGTGCGAACGAAAGCTCTAATAACGACGGGGCTGCGAACACAACATCCAGGGAAAAGGCAAGGCACGCGCTCTGGCATTTCTTCCTCTCCACGTTCTCATCATCTTTCTGGGCCTCGTTTTATGTTTAGGTTATGAAATCCATCCTAATGAATAAACACACGGAGAGCTCCCCACGTGAACTAGCAACGTAAACATCGATTTTACAGGCCCTTCCCATCATCACTCTTTTGTCCAGATGTTGTATTTAATAGTTTTGGTGTTTTCAAAAAATAGTAGACTGCTATCACTCCTCAAAGCCTTACGCATGTAAGCAGCCGTTTCATTATTGAACCTTGCTTTATATTTTGATAGGAACTCTCATTTCTAGAGAATTGTGGAGAAGGTTTACATTGACCGTATTGGGGGAATATGTGGTTTGTCACGAGCAATATAAATAAGCACATTAATTGCCTTATTATACTTGTGTCAGACAGATGGGTCCCCAGCACAGAGCCTAACCCCCACATTTGCCAGGCCTGACCTGTCGTCTCTGTTGGAGCATCGCTGTGCTGGTCACCGGGGTTGCCCTAGTCTCCAGCTTTAGAAAGCAGGCTATTGGGACCCTCCTGAGAACTGGGGCTACCCGTCACTCAGTACAACAACAGAAACCACTGCACAGATCCGTCCAACAGCCCTTCCCTCCTGTGACTCAAAGGCACATCTCTTAGTTCTGTGTCCTCTGGGCTCAGTAAGAGTCCCTGGGGCTCACTGTGATCTAAGCCCCCAGGTCGTCAGCCTCTGACATGGCCACGGAATGCAGCTCCCAATGTAAGCGAGCACAGAACCTTGGGCGATGGTAGAAAATCCTTTCTTCACTGAGGAGACCTAATTCCAGAGACTGTCATCTTAACATTTAGAATGTACTGGGGAATCATCAAGGAATGTTTACACTGAAAGATACATCTTTACTGCAAAGCAAGGCTGCTGTTTCAGTCTAGCTGAGGGTTAAACAGTCTTGAACACTTGATTTATAAAACAGTCCACAAGTGTCAGGGCAATAAAACGTGTTTTGAGGATCACTTTGCCGTTCATCTCACACCCCCACCTTGGATTTCTGGCTGGTTCCGGAAGCCACTAGCACGTGCTGCGGGTCTGGTTTAGTACAAACTGCAAGCACAGATGTGGTCCGCCAGACCGTGGAGCTCTGCAACGGGTAGTCAGACTGAGGGCAGGGGAGGTATGCAGGCTTTGCTAGGTGAGGCAATTTGGTATCACTTCAAGGGATTCCCTCCTTAAGCAGAATCAGACTAGACTTAACTGGAAAATGTAATCAACCATTTTCAAAGAAGTAGAAGAGTAGATAGTAGGTCGTAGGAGAGAGGTGTTTGGTAGCAAGCAGTCCCACCAGACCCACCTAATTCGACTTCCCATCTCATCACAAACCGAGAGCCCAACTGGCATTGAGGATGCTAACGTCTTTCAACTATGGCATCAATTGTTTCTGACACAAGCTTATTTGGTATAATGGGGAAAGCCTTCAGCTCTATCTCAGATAAGCTAAGTTTCTTGAATAATTCAGAGACCCATTTATGCCAGCTAGAGTATATTTACACACTGCAAGAAATAATGGGATCTATATCTTAGGACATTCAAAGAGAAGGCAGTTTCAAGCCTGGGGCTAAGGGATATGGGACTCGGAAGGTAATTCTAGAGTTAAGCAGTTTTTTATGTCGCAGCCCAAGCAGCGGTTGGACCTTTAATGATCCATCTTCCACTTTTGTCCCTGTCCAGCCAACGTTTACAGCTCACCCAGAGTTGCAGCTTGCTCAGAATGGAAGCATGAACAGAACCTCGGGAGGTCTTCGAAAACCCTTTCTTCACTTTGTAGATCTAATTCCAGGGACCAAAAACAAACACACACACACAAAGAGCCTGAGGGGCCCAGCTCATCACTTCAAGTCTGGCCATAGATGGGCCAGCCTACCCTTAGGTTTCAGCGCCATCAGGTGTAAATGGTGGCAGGAGAACACCTGAGGGTAGACACGGCCACTTAGGCGGCAGATGTCTGCATGAGCAGGAGGATCTCAGAAGGGATACGTCATGCTTGACGCAGCCCATCCTCTACGTGGGGTCCAGGGACTGGAGCTGGTCCTTTTGATGCTTGTTACCCTTCGAACCGGCAAGCCCATGGAGGAGAACCATTTCAGAAACTCTTGAGGCGTTTGTGCAAGTCCTTCCATGGTGGCCCCATCTAATAATTAACATTTGGATTTGTTTCTTGCATATATTTTTGTTCATTTTTCTGGCAGTTCATTTATCTTATATTATTTAAAGATAATGGCTGGTGACAGATGGGGAGTGGGCAGGAAACTGGTCTTTCGCTACAGATATTTTGAGAGGTCCTGGTTTGGAAGACTCCGAGATTCTAATTGTGGGATCCCTCCCCCACCTCAGCTAATGAAGGAATAATTACTAAGTCTTTAAATCAAATTATAATCCTCTGAATACCACTTTCCTCCTAAACAAATGGACTATAATGCTGTCACTCACCTTCCTAAGCTATAGTCAGGCAGGAGATAATATGGGAGAATGAAGTTTAAAAAGATGTAACAAGCTCATCAGAATTGTTATTATATTTTACTGTTAAAGTATATATAGATATATAGATAGATATAGATACACACAATAACACATACATGTCATATGGGAGAATAAGGAATTTACACTCAACATTTCCCTCGTAAGCATGTCATGGCTCTCCGGTGTAGAATGTACGGGATGGCAGTGGAGATTTGTGGAGTTTTTTTGCTCAATTATGTTCTATTTGCTAGCTTTTGCAAAAGACAAGTAGATGGCGACTGACAAAGATTTACTCAGGATGCACTCTGTTCTCAGTAATTCATGGGCAGTAACCACGAGTAAAATCAGAAGTATTTATGCAGTGTGACGTTCTGAGAACGGCGAGGAAGACGTACACACATGGGAAGCTGATGAAGCAATATGAAAGACTGCAGGTGTTGGAGGGAAGGAGAGGATTTCATGCTGGTGAGCGGAGAGATGTAGAGAACGGGTTGGATTGTACAGCATCTTGAACAGATGAGAGGTGGAAAGGTGGGAAGGGAAAACTAGGTTACCCAGGTAGGACAAACTCAGGCAGCCGTGTCGAGCCAGATGTATATATATATTAGATGAGTGTGTAGGTGTTCCAGTAGATAGACAAATAGATAAATGTCAGAAAATCAGTGAGATTAGGAAATAATAAACTAAATTTAAAACCCTGAACATGAAGTTACAGTAGGCAATCTAACTTTTTGGTAGTTTTCCCCACCTAAAGCATGATATGTAATTATTAAAACTGGGACTCCTGAAATAGAATTGCTTCTACATATACATCGTTTACTGTCACATATCTTAAAATGCAAATGTTAACAAATGCAAAATGATTTAACAAATAATTCTGTCCAAGTAAAACGTCCTATTTTATATTAAATTATAATTTTTTAAAAGTCTCCTAAACAATTCAAAGGATGAACACGCAATTATGAAAATATTGGCGTGCTTTCCTGCGGCCATCTGGTACCTCAGTCTCATGTAAAGAATAAGAAACTCAGGCAAAAGAATTGCTCCCTCTAAGAGGCACCTTGAGCACCTAAGCAACTTTATTTCTTGTAATAAGGTCATCATAATCGAATCACCAACCTCTACAGAGCCTTCTGTAAACATGCACTTCTGTACGTGCCTCACTTGACAAGCCCACCTGATGGGAATGCCGCTATTTTAAGACATAAGCACAGCGATATTCTTAGTCGTGCAATTTAGTCATTTCCTTGCAGGTTTTTGGTATTTCAGCATTCAACTATGACAGCAATTTGAAGTCTCAAGGTACTAGTAACTTTGTATAGTATTGTCTTATTTTTTTATTCTGACATTCTTTACATCATACAATTTAAATTAATGATTTCATTGTTCACTTTACACCAAAAAAAAAAAAAAAAGAAAAAAAGAAAGAGAGAGAGAGGTAGAGAGAGAGAAAGGCAAACCGAAAAATGGTCTATAGCTCTAAAGAGGTCTCTGCCTTGCCCAGGTGAGCAGTGCTGTGAGCGTGGATTGCCGGAACCCCCCGCTCGGGCATCGTGTACATAGACCGCGTGGGAAGCGAGGGCAGCCATCCGGGAGGCATCTCCAAGCGCACAGCCTAGACTTAAAGGTGGCATAGACACCCTGGAAATGTTTAAACCGAGGAGAGAGAGAAACGACAGCTCTCATCCAATTTTAAAACTGCAGTCCTTGAAAAAAAGTAATTAAAAAGATGTTAAAATTATCAAACAAGAAGTAAAATTATTTAAAAATGAAGAAACTGGAGGAAAATGTGTAGAATTAGTTTTCATCTCCTCGGCAGTGTTTCCCCACAGTGCAGATGTGGAAAAAGCCTATTGAGCAGTTAGAAAAATCCCTATTGGGTCAAATATATTTGTCTAGTCTTTTTAAAATTTTATTTTATTGATTGGAGTAACATTGGTTAATAACATTATATAAGTTATGAGTGTCCAGTTATATTTTTTTATTCTGTATCTTTTAAGATATATTCCCCGTCTTTTCTTCCCTCTTGGCTCTAAGTTCCTTGAGAAATAGGGCTTTGTGTTATTTATCTTTGTGTCCCCCTAGACTAAGGGTGAGGGATGTCCGGCCTGCGGGCCCTGTGAGGCCTGGGAAATCACTTGGTCTGTTCCTGCCAAGGTGTTATGGGTGAGGTAATGAAATATTTGGCCAAATAGAGCAGGCTAATTTTTAAGCTGACCATTTTGTATGGCCCCACAAATGATGTTATAAATATCCAAATGGCCCTTGGCAGGAAAAATAAGGCCCCCCCTTCCCCCGCCCTAGACCAGTGGTCGGCAAACTGCGGCACCTTGAGTGTGGCTCTTCCACAAAATACCATGTGCGGGTGCACACCTACAGTGCGATTGAAACTTTGTGGCCACACTCAAGGGGCCAAAGAGCCGCATGTGGCTCGCGATCCGCAGTTTGCCGACCACTGCCCTATCAGCACTTGTTTCTTGGATCTCAGTGTACATGTTCTCATTGTGAATTGCAAATGAACAACGTAGCTTCCTCCCTCCCCCTGTCCCATCTCTTCCTCCTGAAATTCTGACACCCCAGGTTC